TTGCCACGGCCCACCGTAGTCTGCAGTTTAGGAGCCTCGTTCACTGGGACCGCTTCGACCTTTAGTAAAAAAGAACCATCATAATGCTGCAACATCCCATGCTTGCGACGTGCATGTTTGTACATCCGAAAATTCACTGTCGAGCCTTCTGCTTGTCGAATTCAACGAGAACTAGCTCGTGCGGGATGGGCAGCAGCACCTTCCAGCGGCAAACTTTTGGTTGCCCACAACGTGTGCCCAACACCCACCCGCTTTTTTAATGAGGAACTTGATGGAAGCCTTTGCTTTGTGACCCCAATATAATAAGCCTCATTCTGTAAAGAAGCTTTGTGAAAGCCAAGGTTTCTCAATGTGGTTCATACCTTACCCCGATTGTTTGGTTGTGCCTCTGATGGCAAAATGTACTTCTAGATGATGAAAAGTTTTATGTGGTCTTTCGTTCGCCCGATGGTGGTGTTGGCACGGAAGTCGCGGAGCAAATTTCACATGGCCTTCATGAGTCGGAAAGCCGGCTGCGTTTGTGTTGCGGAACGAACATGAAGGAGCTCAATTGCAAGTGGAAACGCAGCAGCGACAATTTCCTCAGTGATCATGAGCGCCTTATTATCCAACTCGAGTTCGAGGTCGATGATGCAAGCAAACCTGGTCTATATGCGACATATCTGCTGAGGACGCAGAGATTGCAGTGCGCAATGCAGTTATCGACCGGCGGCCATGCGAAGATGCTGAAGATCTTGCGTGCCCATAAACGAAACAAGATGCGGGAGACAGATCAGCAATGGACCGACACCGTGGCAAGGTTCTCTGGCATGGCAGCTTCACCGACGGCAGTGGCTTGCTGTGTTTGTCCGGCCTTGTTCGGACTTTGATTTGAAGCGAGTCAGAGCGCGCTTGGAAGTTGTGGCTGTTCCTCCCCCGCATGCTTTTGTTCCGGCCACAAGCTGCCCCTCGCATACCGGCTGCTGTTTTGCATGCAGGCATCTCTGCCTTCCAGAGCGGGGACTGGGCTCCACTGAAGCGTGAGGCCTCCACCGCTTCACCGGCCGTCCACTTAGCCCGCCTCGGCGAGCTTTCCGCTGCTCGACGCGCCCTCCTGAGCGAGCCTCTTGCCCAGGGCGACCACGCTTGACCCGGACCTGTTGTCCTGGCTCCCCGGAGCGGCTACTTTGCTCACCAACGTGCGTCGCTCGCGCCGAGGCGCAGCCCCCGGCCCCAGTCGACTTGCAGCCGGCATCGCGCGGTTGCTCCTCGACGACGCCGACTCCTCCGAGGCATTCTGCGGCGTCGCACTGCTGCTAGCACGTGCTCGCCTCCCCACCTCCATTGCTTCAACAGTCGGCCTTGGACGCCTTGTTGCTCTGCGCAAACCGGCCGGAGGCGTCCGCGGACTTGTTGTCGGGGATTTCCTCCGCCGCTTGGTCGCCCGCACCTTTGCCCAGCAATACAGCCGTCACATCGATGAAGCCACCCGCCCCCACCAGTTTGCCTTGTCCACGCGTGCAGGGGCAGAGGCTTTCGCCCACAGCCTCCAACTCGAAACCGATACTGACCCCAGCTGCACTGTCCTATCTGTTGATGGCATTGGTGCATTCGACTTCGCGAGCCGCCAAGCCATGCTCTCCGAGCTCCAACACACGCCTGAAGCCTGCGCCATGCTTCCCTTCGTCCGCGTGTTGTATGGCGCGCCGTCTACTTTTGTGTGGACTGACGATGAAGGCGTCACCCACCTCGTGTCTCAGGCCGAAGGTGGAGAGCAGGGCGATCCGCTTATGCCCGCCCTGTTTGCCCTTGGACTTGCACCGGCGCTCCGCTCCTTGCAGGCAGAGCTCCTTCGCGGTGAGCACGTGCGGGCATTTCTCGACGACATTTATGTTACCACCTCGCCTGCCCGCACTGCTTCCGTGTTGTCGCGCCTCGAGCACCATCTGTTTGCGTCATTGCACATCCGGCTCCATATCGGCAAAACGCGCGTATGGAATTCTGTTGTCCGCCCAATCTCCCCCCCCCCCCCGGAAGGGTGCACCACTTGGGTTGGTGACCCCGCCTTGCCCCCACATGACCGTGGTTTGCGTGTCCTCGGCCGCCCCCTGGGAACGGACGAGTACGTCGCTGCGCAGCTCCAACACCTTTCCGTGCAGCACCGTACTCTCCTCCAGATGCTCCCTGGCACACATGACCTGCAAGTTTCGTGGCTACTGCTGTTGTTTTGTGCGTCTCCTCGCGTGCACTACTGTCTTCGGTTGCTCCCGCCTGCACTCACGGCTGCCTTTGCTGTCGCTCATGATCGCGACATGTTGTGCTGCCTCGCCCAGCTGCTCCACCTTGTTCCCGGCGATGCCGAACCCCTGCCCCAACCCGCCGCCGCTCGTGCCGACCTGTGTTTGCGCCACGGCGTACTTGGTCTCCGCAGTGCAGCCGAGCATGCGCCTGCGGCGTACTTTGCATCCTGGGCTGACTCGCTTGGGGCGGTCCGTGTCCGTGAGGCTGACTGTTGTCACGTCGTTGCTCGCTTACTTGATGACGCAGCACCTGCCTCCTCACCTCCCCGCTGCTTGAGCTCCCTCGCCGGTGCTGTCCGCCTTCTCCGCGACACTGGTTTCCAACCTCCTGCTTTCGGTCTCCCGTGCTATCGACGATAGCACCGCCGGCCGTTTCCGCGCAATGCTGGACTTTCCTTCCCTTGCCCTGCTGGAGTCTCAGTGCGGACCATTCGCTTCAAGGGTTCCGACTGCCTTGCATTCCTGCAACGAGCCCACTTTGGACTCGCCTGTTTTCCGAGCTTTGTTGCTCCGCCGGCTTCGCTTGCCCTTGGCACTCGACGCTGCAGCCTGTCGCTGCCGCCGTCCCGTCGACCCTCTGGGTGACCACCGCGCTGCCTGCCCCCGTTCTGGCATCTTGCGCTCCCGTGGCCTCCCGCTCGAGCGTGCTGCTGCCCAGGTTTGCCGCGAAGACGGGGCCGCTGTTGCCTGCAATGTTCTCGTTGGTGACCTGAACATCCACTCCGAGGGCCTCGATGACCGCCGCATGGAAGTCATCGCCAACGGACTCCCGCTCTGGGGCGGAGCGCAACTCGCCGTTGACACCACCCTCGTGTCCCCTCTCGACGCCAGCGGAGCTGCCCGTCGCCGCCAGCGGCAGTACCGCGGCGCTGCTCTTCGCCTGGCACGCAGAGCTAAGGAACGCACCTACCCGGAGCTGCTGCGCTCGCAGAGGTGCCGGCTTGTTGTCCTTGCACTTGAGGTTGGTGGCCGCTGGAGTCCCGAGGCCTCCCAGTTCGTTCGCCTCCTCGCTCGGTGCCGGGCCCGTGCTGTGCCTCGACTGTTGCGGCCTGCAAGCATTGCTGCCTTCACTTCCCGTTGGTCCGCCTTGCTCGCCTTCTCTGCCGCCAAATCCTTCGGTGCCAGTCTCCTTGGCCTTTCCCTGCCCGCCACCGCTAATGTTGATGGTGACCATGCCCTGCTCAGCGAGGTCCTTTCCTCGACTTGCTTCGACGAAGCCCCGCCTGTCGCCAGCCGTCTTCCCCCGCACCAGTGAGCTGCAGCCCTGGACTCGGGCGTGGAGGACGCTGACCTCGTGAAAAACAGCGTGTAGCTGCAGTTCCTCCCCCCTGCTCTGGGACCGCATTACTCCTGGCGCAAAAAGGTCCGTGAGAAAAAATCTTCAAATCAGAAGCGCCGTGTCGCATCTTTCGCCGCAGTAATTTGCTCTGCGGAAGGAAGTTCCACGAACAACTGAAATGGATACCCGTGCCGATATCGGGGTTGGTGTCCTTTGCGGCCCCACCCCACTTCTGACTTGAGTGACGGCGACAAATGAGCTGGAGGATGCCCAGAATAAAAGCAAATCATCCGCCGATCCGTTTGAGCGCCGATATTGCCAGAGTTATTTGGGATCAAAATTTTATGCTCACCGTGAGTGGTTGAATATGTATGTAGTCCAGCCCAGCAAAGTATGCCAATTAAAGTTAAACACATCACGCAGTCGGTCCCAGGAACAGCAATCACTTCCATGCATATGCATGCTCGCCCACCTCCAAGATGTGCTGTGTGAGATGTCTGACGACTGATGATGCCAGCATAAGCTGCAGACGCATCAAAGGACATGTCTGTCAGGGTAGAGTCGCGCCGTTGATTTACGGCATATGGTATAGCGTAGTCATCGTCCCTGAAGAGGTTTCTGGGTACGTTTACGTTGTGCGCTTGAGGACAATTACGGCAAACTGCGGAGGGTAGCGTCGGTTGAAATCATTTGCTTGCACGGCTTTTTGGGCTCAGGACGGTGTGCTGATGCTGTAGTTGCTGCTGTCCCACAAGTTCCATCATGTTGCCATAGCCGTAACGATGTACAACCGAAACGGTTTTCGAGGTATGCTGGGTGTGATGAATCTCCTGCATCGTTCGCTTAGCTGAGACACTGCAACAGGCGGTTCTAGTCCTTCGTAGGGGAAACGAGATGTGCCAATGCAAATTTCGCTGTCGGCGCGTCGTTCTCCACAACCTGCACACGTTGCGACCCATGCAAACGGACAGTGCAAGTCGCCTCGGTTTGCAGCCAAGCAGCATGCAAGTATGACCACCCTGGTGTTCGGGTTACGCTTGTCTGGACTGTTCTGTGGAAGCAGGTGTCGGACTTGCCGGCCGCAGGTTCCCATTGTCAGAAGCCGGGATCCATCAGCGTTTGTGGACAGGTCGGCTTACCGTGAACGTGACACGGAATGCTTGGCTGATGGAACGCCTATTGCAAGAGCCGGGAATGCTGCAATTTATCCATCGGCAGCTGCAGCTAGCATGGCCAACAAGCCTTCAAGGATCTCGGTGGATGGCTGCCTAGCTGATGGCACAGCCTTCAACAGAGCAGGCAATGCTATCAACCATCCCGAGTCAACCGTGCTCCCCGTGTTTGCAAGCAGATCCAGCGCAGGTGTTCCGGATGCTGGGTGTTTAGCAGACGGAACGCCCATTGAGCTGGCAGGAAACCGATCGTTGAAGTTCTTCCACCCATCCAAGACATCGCTTGTGGCAGATGTTCATGAGCTGGCTCGTACGGCGGGCGACGCAGAAGAAGAAGAAGAAGAAGACAACATGAGAGATGGAAAGACGGGGTTGGTCGATCGGCCGCCGGCTGAGAAGATGCTAGATGCTGGTGACAGCAATTTGTTGGAGCTTCGCGATCCGACGAGCAGCAAAGCCGTGAACGGGTCAGTTCGCGATGCCGCGACCAGACGTGAGAAAACATCTGCTGCCAAAGATGTCCCGAGGGCTGCAGAGCGTGGGCAATCAAGCGTTGCTCGTGCGGCAAGCTTGGGCACGGTTGCACCGAACATCACAATCCCGGACGAGATATTCGAGCCATCTCGACGGGTTGGTACAACCAAGGAGTTTCCCTCCGGTGTGACGTCCGGCGCGGCGTCTGTGTCAAGGCTGTCAAGGCCTGCTGGCGGCTCCACAGTGTTCGATGCAAAGAACCGGGAGCCGATGCAGCAAAAGCACACGCAACCAGTGAAACACCCTTCGGGATCCAAGGTCTCCCTAGACGAAGAAGATGACATATCTGAACAACTGCTTGCAGTGACAGCATTTGTAGCTTCTGTCTTATTCATCAATGCTAGCTAGTTTGGGGCGCTGACCCGTCCACCTGTACAAGACGAAAGCACACCTTCGCAGTCGGAACAACCGGCGGCCGTAGCTTGATCCAGCAACGGCTTGATGGGTGTCACGTTGAACTTTTCAAGCTTTCCTTTCACAGGGGTTTGAGGTGCAGCAAGCTTGTTTCTGCTGGAGCCAGAATCTCCGGAAGTCATTTGTCGGATTGCCTTGCCAGAAAGCTACTGGTAGCCTAGCATGGAGGTGATGTAGCATGCATTGCTGACCAATCTGATGAGTTGTCTTCACGAGAATGTACACGTCTACTGAGGCAAAAGTCCCTCAATGCTGCCACCACCGTCACCGCTGGCAGGAGAAAATCAACCGCTTTGCATGCAGTGAGCTGGTTTACAGTTTTGCATAGCCTTTTGGGTTCAGTGGCTTCTTCTGTCTTTGTGCTCCGTGGAACCACATACTATGTGGGGCAGTGCAGCTTTCAACTGGATGCATTGTTGACAGTCCAGCAAGACGAAGAGGCCTCGCCTGGGTAACAACATGCTATGTCGGGCAGTGCAGCTTTTAACTGGAAAGATTGCTGGCACTCCAGCAAGACGAAAAGGCTTCGCCGCGGTCTCTTTCCATAGCCACACAACGTAGCTGGACAAAGAGCTCAGAAACAATAGAAGCCGTGGTTAAGAGTTGAAAAGGTTCAGCATTGCGGAGGACGATGCGCCCCATCTTCCTTTGTCACTGCAGCTTGCACAGGTGGACTGTCAGGATGGTCATTCAGATTCGGATCGTGCCGGAAGACACGGTTGCTGGTGATGTGGGCTCCAGCCAGCCCCAGTATCGACTTTGAGGATGCTTAGCAACCTTACTGCTCAAGCGGGCGGCCGGAGAAGACATGCCCATGCTGCTTTGAGACTCCCTCTTGCATGGGGGCCTCGTGCTCAGTCACAACCACACCAAAGCAAAGCATGTCAGGGGAAGCGCTGTCGCCTTTGTTCGGCTGAGGCCGAGCCCCAAATCTCGCATTGGAGGCAGTTGTTGGAGCAAGCACGGTTGGAGAAGAGCCTCGTGCCCGACATCGAGGACGGGACTCGAGTCGGGACTCGGGTCTGAACCTTGCGGCTAGACTAGTCTGAAGTCTGGTGATAGGATTCGATTGCTAGAAGGGCATGCGTTCCGAATGTCGTTTTTGCGAAAGGCCGTGGATGATGGTTTTCCTGCGGCCTGGGGCGGATCGGCCTTGCGGATCTTCAGGTGTGCTGGTGACATGGTGCTGTTTGTTGCTTGTCACTGGCATCCACTGCCGAGGCAGCGGTCCATCCTTCAAGAGGAATGGCTTCACTCCTTCATGCCCCAGTCAAGGAGCTCGCGCCGTCGGACTTTCGGGCAGCAAGCATGAGAATTCTGTGAGCAGGAAACGATTGCCGACCCTCTTGGCTTTCGGATCATCAAAAGGAGTTCTGTCCTGAGTGCCGGTCATTCCGGTCGTGCTTCACGCTGAATCCTCAGCTCAGGCTGTATGTGCCAAGCTGGCCGACCAACCAGGCCGAAGGAATGCACAATTTAGCACGTCCACAGATTGCAGGACAGATTCCATGTATCATCGAGTTCTTGGCAGGTCTTTCGCTGAGCCCGTTTCGGTTCCAGAAAGGGATGGTTGGCAAGTAGTGCTATACAGCAGATTCGTGAGAGGCTTCTGTCACGACCCGGAATCTGTGGAGCCCAAAGCTGTCGCCCACGTTTAGGACCGTGCTCCTAGCCGTTGCCATGTCGTAGCTCCTCCTTTGCGTTGCAATGTTCGCTTTCCATGGTGCGTGTGACATCGCTGCAGTCCGGTTTTGTGTTGTCGTTTTGCGTATGCAGGCACATGCAACCACACCACGGTTCTCTCGAGGTGAGAGGGCGCGCAACGCGCAAACGCGCCAATCGAAAAGCTGGAAGCGTTCAACAAGACAGGGAGGCGCACCATGCTGGCATGTCCAAGCACTTTGCAGGGGAAGTTTCGGGCTTTCGGAGGCCTTACAGCTGGGCCTTTACTTGTCATGGCTGCGCAATGAACTGGACAGTGAAGCAGCATGCCTGGACTCATGGCCGGCATTGAGTCATAGAGCATGGGAAGCAGGTCACAGGTCTGGGAATCGTAGAAGCCAGAGAAGCCTTCCTTGACAACGAGGAGATGCCTTGGACGATGCTGTTGCTCTTAACTTTTGCGGTGCTGCCCCCAGTTCGAGCTCACAGATGGCTTTCGATGCACAGTATGCTGCCATGTGGAGTTGAAGTGACCGCCCGGCTCCAACTCCTGCCAAGGTTATCGTTTACATGCACACCCGACCTGATTTCGTGGTGGTTGTTGAAGGGGCATGGAAATCAGCTACTGGACACAAACCAGTGGTCGCATAGGCATGTTTGAGTTCGTACCATGTCGGACAGTTTGGCCCAGGCTATAGAGGAAGGTGCCACCTTTGCTTGGTCGGGGAATTTCGGCCACAAGAATGCTGCTACCTTAGAAGCTGCAAGCCTCTTCAAGCGAATTGATGAAAGGTCAGGCTTTGGGGCTTTGCGGCTGGGATGTGTGCGTGTGGGGAGAATCGAGAGATCGTGTTAGGTGTACGACGTTAATTCCCTGGCCGACTTCTGGTCTTGGCTTCGATTGGGCCTCCTCCCGTTGTTGGTGCAGCATTCCTGGGCTTGGTCTGAAGGCCGGTGGCGGGAGCGCGAAGATTTTCCAAGAAGCATACTTCAGCTTGCTGACAGGCTTGGATGAGGCCTACAGGTCTGCCAATCTGAGTGGGAACTTCTCCAGCAGCCTGCCAGACCGTTTGGCTGGAGACTCACACCTTCCTGCCAGTGGTTTTATGCTTTTGGTGTTGGTGCGCTCTGGCTCAGGACCTAGCCTATGGTCCGTGGCCAAGCAGAAGCTGAATCTGCGAACGCAGTCCGCAAGTGCAAAGCTGCCCGTGTGAGGCCTCTTCGCGGATGAGCCTTGGGACAGTGCCCGGCTGCCTGTGCGGGATGCGCCTTGTTTAAGAGTCTACCTCTTGTCGAGTCTCGCACTTGACTTGAAAGGAGGCGTCTCGATCCTGAGGACTTCTTGAGCTACCAGAAAATCGTGGCTGGCATCCGGATGCAGCAGGAAAGGGCAGTGGGAAGCTGGGAGGCCAGTTCTCAGCCCCGGCTACACATCCCCACTGGCACCGGAGCTTCCGATCTTTGTAAGCTTGTAGGCCTGCCACATCCCCTCCAGCCGCCTGGCGAGGAGTCATCCTGGGAGGTTGGGGTTGTGTCTGGAGCTGTTGCGCTAGCCGAGGCATGCCAGAAGATCTCTGGAAAGACTGGTTGGGCAAGCCTTGTATGTTGGCAGATCAGTCCTATTTCCTCAGCCCCGAAGCGTCTCGCCTTCAGCGCCCTTTGTGCTTCGTCTGGGAAGCTGAAGCTGCGCACTGCATCTATGGGAGTCTCTTGAGGTTCATCAGTCCGAAACCTTCAATGGCGAGCCCATGCGCGTGGAGTGGTTTCTGACCATGAAGCAGGCGCTGCAAGAGCTGCAGATGATGACCTTGGACATGGAGGACGCTTGTGCCATACCATATTGCGTCTGTAGCCGTCCTGGTGCGACGGCTTCAGCCACTGACCAAGCTTCATGCGCAGGGCAACATCCGAATGAGACCTGTTTCAATCTGTATCAGGACGGTTGCTCTGACTTGGCCAGCAAGGCCACGCAGCAAGGCCGTCCCGAGGCGCCTTGCAGGACAGGAGCTGCAGCAGGGAGCGGCATCTTGTCGAACGTCAGGTCCCGGATGAGTGCTGGTGCCAAAGCTGTCGCTTGGCTGAGAGATGCCCCCGCCGGCCGAGCTTTTGCCATCAGTCACCAAGGCCAGGATGGTGCCCAGGGCCCCGGAGGCTGGATGAGGATGCGCGCCATCGAAGAGGCTCGTTTTGCTGCGCGGTGCAAAGCGAGGCAGCCTGGTGCCTGGACCATGGCTGGACGCGGCTCGGCAAGAGCCAAAGTGTCTTGCAGTGTGAAACGGTCCTTCGTAGTTCGAGGAATACACCCGCCGAGTTGAAGTGAGCACCGTGGCTTACAACCAAAACTATGGCCTGGTGTCACTGGTGTCGGTCAACTTCTTCATCAACAAAGCAGGACATGTGCACAAGCTCCTGTGGCTCAGCTAAGTTTTCGTCATGACCTTTCTTCTCTGTTGCCCCGTATTGCCTGACTGCTTCACTAAGGGACGTGCAGTCAGCCCGAATTGATCCCTATGTGGGGTACCTTCTCTCGGTCTTCATCATGGTTTCCTGCAGCCTGGTTCAGACAATATGCAGGCTTAAAGCGTGCAGATGTTCCACAACTCTCGGCAGCAGCAAAGTGACATAAGCCCCCCAGCATCCATCTCAGGCGACATCCTATGGTTGATAGGGTTGCTGAAGCTTCTCCTGAATGAGGCGCGGATTATAGTTTCAGAATACATGGCAGGCCCTAGCAGGGAGTTGCTTTCCTTGGCAAGCGTGTCCTTTGTTCGCGCCTTGCGACAGGTCCAGGACATCGTAAACACAATCACAGGCTCGCAACAAGCCTGGTGGAAGGCTCTCCTTTTCGAGTACCTCGCGACTCAGTGCATTGAACATCATTCCTGCGACGTTGTTGTCGTGTCTGGATGTTTCTCGGCAGAGAAGTCTGCACCCGAGGCTTTCTGGAACATCGTGGACTGGCTGTCGCTGGCCTGTGCTTGGGCAGTGCTGGGGACGTACATCCGCGCAGGCATGGAGGTACCCTGGTTGCTCCACGCATACTGCTCGTGTCGAATAGAGTCCAAGATCATGGCCCAATAGTTCCCCAAGGTTGCAGCCACATCCTCGCAGCTCGAGAATGTCTTGCAGCCAGACGTCCAGAACCGAACCAGGGAGGAGCTTTCCGCCAGGAGTGACCTGGTCTTTCAAGCCACCGCGACTTGGACAGATCGTTCCGGTCAGCGCTCGGGTGGGAAATTTCCCGTGTCTTTGAGTCCGCCGGGCAACATCCTCAAAACCTTGGCCGGGGTATTGCTCACCAGGCAGTCTTTCTCTGTTTCTGGAGTATCGGTTTTGGATCATCTTGCTTGGCTGTATCTCTGCTTTGGACCTCGGGTGGCTGACGACGCAAGTTCCCAGAGACCTTAAGATTTGGCAAGCCAGCGTGTGTCGTTCTTGGTTCGGGGGTTCGGAAATCCACAGTCGATTTCCGCCCGCATCGTTTGCCGGTTATGAGCCGCCATGACAAGTCGAGATCCCAAAGCAATCCAGACAACTCACAGTACAGACTGAGACCCTTCGGCTTCTGCTTCTTAGTTTTGATCTTCCTGTTTTATTTGTCTTTTCCAAATGGTCGTTAGCTAGCATATAGCAAGTTTTATTTGTAATGAGAGGGCGAATCTTACCATCACGCTTTCCCAGGAAAGTTTGGTCAGTGCGGAAGCAGACTTCCGCATCACACTGCTCCCATGACCGCGTTAGAACTGGTGCGTTCTAGTCTTTGTATGGTCATTGCAGATATCGGTTTCCAGCATTGAAAACAGCAGTCCTGCAGAGTAGAAAGCTTCAGCAGGAACAAATGACGTCTGGGGATATCGTGTGCATGTATTGAAATGTATTGCTTTGCACTCGGCACGAGACGATGTCCGGAATCTAAGGCTTTTCTTTCCCATGCTAGCAATGACCTCAGAGCTGAGTTCATGAAGCCTGAGGTGAAGGCCCGGGCATGTTCACACCCTGCCTTGGCCTGAGGTCATGCTACGGCTCTTCAAATCCTTCCATGCCCAGCCACGCCTCGTCACTTGGCACAAGCCTTCCAAGCTTATCACATCCAGAGATGCCGGGCGCCAGCCATGCAGAGATGTGCATACACCTCTGAACAAGGCCATCGTAACGAAGACGATCATCACAGCCAGCCAAGATTTGCTGCACTTCTTTATCGTTCTTCTCTCCGTCTACACTTGCATGGCAGTTTTCGGCTACCTCTTATTTGGACAAGATGTTGAGGATTTCTCGACTTGGGATCGACGCGAGGCTGCAACATTACCAGGCGATTGGATCTACTGTTTGCCGTGTCGACATTGTTCGAAGGTTCCAGCGATTTTCAGTATACTTCCATGCATCTTGCCCACGACGGACTGCAAAGGTGTATGCATCACATGCTTTCGTGCGCTGCTTGGAGAATGGGACTGGGCTTCTCGACTGATTGCTAGCCCTTGTCAGTTCCAGTCCTTGTGAAAAGCCACTCCCTGTCAGCATTCTTCAGCAGATTTTCTGTGCACTACAGATGTTTCCAAAGGAGGAGATGGAAACTGTGGGCCGGGTCTTAGCGGCGATTTGGCTTTGGTGTTTCGTTGCTCGCCTTGCGCAGTAGTATTTTTTGGCTTAGATACAGCCTGGGATCTTCATCAGTGCTGCTCTCGGAGTATTTGCGCTGATGTCGCTTCCCGAGGTTGTGCTTGTGGTGCTGCTGCTGCTTAACATGGTCCTGGCAATATTGATGGACGCTTACCAAGCTGCTCGGTCGCTTCTGAGTCCTGCCGTCGTCAGCAGAGACCGGGAAGGGATGTTTCCACCCAGATAAGGAATATACCTTATGATTTAAGGTGTATTTTCTTTGCTTTGCTCCGAGGTCGTGAAGTCTAAGGCCTCGGTTATGGTGACCGTTCCGCAGCAGATCTCGGAGATGCTGCGGCGCCGGCGCCTGAACCGAGAGAAGAAGACCGCGCTTTTGGCCGCACCAAAAACGGAGCATGTCTTGAGCCAGCATGCTGACGGGGTTCGGACATCGGGAGCCAGAAGGTACGGCTGGTGGAGATCTGGTTTGCTTACCTGGAGCAGTTCCAGTCACACCGAGAGATGTTCGAAAGCGAGGTGGGGTGGCTTCGTAAAGTGATTCGCAATGGGAGCAAGGGAGGTGTGCATGCCCCCTCTGCCTAGTTTTCACTACTCCGTTCAGACTAGCCCTAGAGCCCCGGCATGGGCCAGAAGCAGTTCGAGTTTGCGGAGAGGTCCTGGTGAGGCCCGAAGACTTGGTGAAGGTGGTGCCAAGTCTTCCACTGTCCCAAGCCAGAAGAGTCCCAGTGGCAGAAGTGCATCTAGTGCTTTTCCAAAACTCCGTGCCTTCTGGTCGTGTTGGAGATGCACTATGGAGCTCCGAGGAACACTGAGCAGTGCCCAGAGGGTCTGGAGGGAGACCAACGACGTGCACTACGGCATGGAGAACATGCGCATGCAGCTCAAGATGTGCAACGGAAGAGCCGCTGGTCCCAAAGAAAAGGGATGGTCCCGAGTCTTCTTTCTTCAAGATGTGTTGCCAACGTTGCAAGCCAATGAAGCACCTCAGCTGGCCTTCGACTCAAGGTCAAAATTCTTCAGGAAGAGGAGCCTCGCATGCACCGATACCTCCGCGGCCATCCGCAGAAGCAGTTCTTTTCACTGCAGCTGCGAGGTGTCTGCCATTCGCATGGCCGTGGAGGAAGCCCGGGATGCTTCAGGAATGCTGCCAAGCCCGACTCATCTAGGCCTCCCGGCAGGTTCCTGGGTCATGCGTAGGTAGCAACACCTGTGACGGCGCAGGTCTCAAAGAAAGCACCTTGAGGATCGTGGATGTCTTGAAAGACACTGTGTCTCGGTCTGCCTGAGGGTGGTTCGCGAGTCCAGTTTTGACCATGTGTGTTTCAGCAGGCGTGAGTACATCTTGCAAGATGCGTTTCAGGTCGGAGGCCTGCGATCGCAGGTTCATGGCGTGTCTCGGAAGAAGCTACTAGCATCCATCCTCTCCGACTTCAGCAGAGCTAGACTGCACACCACTCTGGCTTTCTTTCGAGTACTTCGTCCCTCCGTTACCTGAGGTTCTAGAGGAGGAATGCAACGTCTACGAGTTGGGTCATCGCCAACTTCAAGACGATCAGCGTGACGAGCCCAGCCATTAGCTGTACGTTCACGGTGCGTTAGGATCGTAGGAAATGCTTTGTTACCTCCTGGCGCCTGGTGTATGGTATGGACTGAAGGTACCATGAGAGTGAAGCTTGGCGGCACCACCAGTGCTGAGAATCTCGGGATTAACACAGCTCTCCGAAATTTGAGGTGTGCGCAGGATGCCAAGGCCTGGACAGGGTGCTGCAGGGTGCCTGGCAGCCCTGTGTCCTTGGCGGCTTGTGACGCAGGCGAAGTTAAGAGCGATGCTCGAAAGATTGGAGGCGGGCTTTGGGGGGATCGCCGCAGCTTCGGCTTCGTGGTTCGCGAACTGTCTCGGCAGGGCCTGAGTGCTACGTTGGAGGAGCATGCCACCAAGGCCGGGTCCAGCGCGAGCGCTCCGCTTTCGGAAGCCTTTTCGGCACTCCTCTGTGTACATCTCTGTACAGGAGCAGGTTCACTCCGTCTTTGGCTCCGCCGTGGCGACACGGGATCCCCAACCGAGCCTGCTGGCCGGACTGCACCGCCACCCGGCGAGAACATCCATGATGCTACTGTCGGTACCTTTTTGTGGAGCATGAAGCATGTCGGTCAGTGTCTCATTGCATGCAGGCAGTCTGGCAATGTGCTCTGAACCCACGAGGGGTCAGATCATATCGTGAGGTAGCGACTGATGTGGCAGCGACTGCGAGTTTGGGATGCGTGCTAATCGAGCTGAGCACAGAATGTCGATAGTCTGACTTGACAGGTAGCCTCGGGAGTAGGAGTTTCTGCTGTTTCGGGGCACAGCTCGTGTTTGGCAGGTCGCGACGGTCGCCGCATGTAGATAAATCTGCCGTGTACACATGAAGTAACCGGCATACTTCGAAAACTCTTCGGTGGCGCGGCTGAATGCCTGGCCCAGGGCACAGGGCTCACTGCGCTGTTTCGCATGTACTGTGGCAAGATGCGGCAGACATCCAGCAATGCCATCAACATAGACACAGCATGTGTCAGAGACACTGCTGTTGCAGCCCAAAGTGGTTGTGACTGCTCTGTGCAAGCTGCCAAGACGGTCCATTTTCTTGTTGTGGGTAGAGGTGTCATTGGGTGCCTTGCTGGTGGCCTCGTAGGTCTCTGCATGACGAAGTCCAGCCTGGGCTCTGTGGCCCGTGCCTCGGAGCGGAGCCAGGCAACAAAAACTCTAATGACTCTAATTTACTTGCGATGTTCTTCCACCGTTCTGCTTCGAAGCTCCGAGGGCCCGCGCTCCAACGCATCCGTGCAGACGTCTTTCTGGCTCGGAGCTCAGACCATGCCGGACTGGTCCTTGTGCCTGGAGCTTCCAGGTCCAGGCTGTGGTCTTTGAGACGCTGCTACTCTTCACTGCTCCGCAGGTACCGAGTAGTGCAGTTTTGCATGCACTGGAAGAGCGGCTTTGAGCAGCGTTCTCGAGGGCATGCCCTGCATGGCTGCAATGTCTTCCAAGCCTTGGACACTGCAGCAATCTTTGGCTCTCCATTCCGCAGCTAAGAGAGCTGCGGTTTGAGAGCTGCTAACAGGCTTTAGCTCAGTGTGCCTTTTGGCACGCAGCTTGGCGGCACCAGTGCTTGCCGGCAACAGTCCTTTTGGGGCAGCTGTCCACCTTAGGTCCTGAGCATTTCGAAAGCAGAGGCCAGCTCAAAGCAAGAACCGGGGAAGACCTCTTTTGTCGCTGTTGTTCTGCCTGAGCCCTCTTTCGCGTGTGCCATCGGTCCTCCAGGTGTAATTTCCCGATCGCCATGAGCATGGCGCAGACGGCATCTTCAACCTACTCCTTCAGCTCCGCTCCGAAGGCTGTGACAGCGCGCAAGAAGTATCGGGAGCCCGGCCCCGTCGACTCTGGTCTCTACCGCAGCGTGCCTCGGTGTATGGTGTTGTATGCCCCATCGCCTTCTCGCATACCCGGGCGACCATACTCTGGCCTTCGCCTCACGGAGTCCCAGGTGAAAGAGACATGCATCTCCTGGGACAAGCGCGTCCATCGTGGCAACACCTACAGCATGTATACGCAGAATGCCATCAAGGAGGTGTGGAGCCGAGTACGTGGTGCCGAAGCTTGGGGCATCTTGGGCCTTGGGGTTGGGCCATGACCAGGCCATCGAAGCTGCGCAACAGTCACAGGCCTGGATGGTCCTTCTCGGATTCTCGGAACCTGAGCTCTTGCCGTGGAAGGTTTCGCCCAAGGTGGCCAAGAAAAGGAGGCCCAAGGAGCCCAAGCGCAACAAGTCAGCAGACGGCAGAGCTCCTTTCGTTCGCAAGCCTTGCAGGAGAAGTCCATCTTTGACATGCCCCTACCCGAACACGAGCGAGTGCCCGTCGACCTCACGAAGCACCTCATAGCCAGCGAGGAGCCACTGCAGGTGGGCCGACGGGCCGTTCGTTCGCGGCTTCAGATTGCGTGTACCTTTGGGCTCCAGGTGGAGGTCGTCGAGTGCCAGACAGACGAGTTCTTGCCAGAACCGCCCCCGGAGCAGTACCAACCACAGAGGCCCAGCATATCCACGCATCTACCCCTTGGTTCAGCACCGCGTGATGAGAGCACTATGCTCCCAGATGCGGATTGGAACATAGTCTTTCCAGTTTGTGTGGGCCGTTGCAGGACTGGCATTGATGCCTCCACGCAGGTAGAGGAGCGAGCAATGTCATGAGATCTTCAGATAGATTTCGAAGGTGCACGACCGCTCTGGGCGGTTTCATATTGCTGGCAGGGGCTGCTTTCGACATTCATGATGCAGGTCGTGAGAAACCATGCTTGCAACATGTCCACGTTCTGTACCGATCCCAAAGGTTTAGGAGTCATGGCATCGATTACCACTGCGCGGTCCGATGCAACTAGGGATGTTTTGGAGGCTTAGTTTTCCCACTGACAGAGTCGAAGGACGGTGAGCTCTTCGACTTCGATGCAGAAGTGGAGCCTATCTTGGATGTGCTCGTCGCACGGATGTGTTAAGGAGATGCGATGTTTAAGTAGGTGTAGCTGGGCTCGGTGTCATTCGAGATCTGCGAGAGCTGAAGCTGGTGGCCCAGGTCATGAAGACCCTGGAGCAATCGGTCATGGAAGTGGAGGAGGAGCACGAGCTCTCGGCCATGACCAGCTTCAAGGGAGCCTGGTACGAGAGGCGTGGGGGGAGCGCGTTGACGCGCTCTGCTGCGCTGCGCCGCTGGTGGCCCCTGTAGGCAGAAGAGCATGATGGCGGCCTGGCAAGAGCAGGTCGAAGAGGACCTCGAAGGGACGTCTTTGTGAGTCCGCGTATCTCCTCACATCATTTCGTTGTGTACCAGGAGTGGGTGCGGTGGCACCAGAAGGAGGCCGTGATGGCAGCCCAGAGGGCTCAGAAGGAGCGCGAGGCTCGCGTGCTCCTCAAGAGCTTCGGAAGCACTCGTGGAACTCCCCATCCCTTTTTGCCGGGCTTCCTTCACTTTCGGGTCGCTGTCGTCCGAGGATCCAGGCCGTGAACGCCGCAAAGGGCCACCTGGCCAACCTGGTGCCCAATGCGGTGGAAGATCTCAAAGAGGTGGCCTTCCCAGACAGCCGCGGCCTGGCAATTCAGAGGTCCCTGCGCTATCTGCAATGGAGATGAGATGTTGAGTTCGACCTAAATGGTGGTCTTTCTGTGCAGGAACTTCATGCAGGGCCTGTTCCAGCAGGTCCAGCAGGAGGTCTCGGCAATCAAGCGTGCGCAGCAAGAGGCAGCAAGAGGGCTACGCAGAAGTTGGCAAAGAGTAGTTTCTACAAGACGGGCGGGTGCCTTCGAGTGTCTGTATTGTAACCACTTCGAATGCAGGTAGATGAGATCGTGGCTCATGGCGTTGCAGCGCAGCAGGCAAAGTGGTCGGCCAGCCTACAGGGGCAGAGGGAAAAGTTTGCGGGCATGGAGAAGCTGCGGTTAGAGGAGCTGCAGCATCTTGGTTCCAATCATGGTGCAAGCCTTTGGGGGCAGCTTAGCGCCGGTGAGCGGCGCTAAGCAGGCAAGAGACTGCTCAGGATTCGCCGCGGCAAAATACGAATCCTCATCGATGATGGCAGCGGAAACCCCGTGCCTGTTGGGCCGATCCAACTGTCATCGGCGGATCCAGTGGAAGAGCTCCAAGCCCGAGTGTGCCTTGCCAAGTTGTAGCTTAGGCCTACGGGCCGAGGCCGCGTAGGCCCAAGCTTGAGTCATCCGGCGTCCTCGATGTTCAGTTCAGAAAGCAGGTCGTGACTGTTGAGGTACGTGTGGCTTCAGCAGAACGAGCCCAAAATTGCAGCGGCGTGGCCTCACGGCGTTGTGTGTCTCGGCTATTCTCTCGCAGCCTTGAGCATGTGTGTTTTGGCGACAAAGCGGCGCGGGTGCCTCCCATGAGCCTCGCGATGCGATTGCCGCGAGGCTGCGGCTCAGTGGAGAGCCTGTGCAGCAGACGAAGCAGCTGTTCGAGGCTCTTCGGATTTGCACCGAGGAATGTCGGGTTGTGTCGGGCTCTCGGCAGGCCAAGCCCGGGCAGATCTCCATGGGGCCGCAGGACGAGTCGGTATGAGACAAGGGCTTAGGGCCAGAGATGACGCGTTCTGAGCAGGAGCCGCCGCCACCCCCGGAGGCTGAGGTAGACGAAGCGGCAGAGGGGGAGGAGGAGGAGCAGGTGGAGGCCGGACGTCATGAGTATCCCGAGGTCACGTCACGGTGACACCTGCATCCTTTATCCCGGGCCCTGAAGAGGGGTTCTCTGGCTGGCATGATCTGCATTTGAAACTTGAGTTATCTTGAGTTGTGACCGGCCGTCGCGCAATGTCAATGGAGTTGCAAGAGCAGTCCCGTAAACGCCGTGCAGCACCTCCCCGGTGGTGTTGCAGCAGGCGGCCTGATGCCAGCGCTCGGCATAGGCCGGATCGGGAGCGTGTCCCAAGTCACAACCACATGTGCAGAAGCCGATGGGCGCATGCACAGTAAGAATTGATCGCCGGGCCTTGTCCGGAAAAGTGATGATGTCCCCTTCATCCAGAGTGGAGAGACAGGGATGAGACCCATGGTAAATGCATACCAGGAGCATCATAGACTCCACAAATTCATTCCCCATTCACGCCGAGTATTAGGGTGTATGGTCAACTCCATTACTCGAAGAATTCGGGATGTGTGAGTGCTAGAATCACCGAAATTAGAATTTACAGCTTCCTGGGTGCTGCAGGTTGCAGATGAAGAAGGTGCAGAATTTGTTCCAAAGCTGCTTTGATGTCAGCTGCTTCGTCCAGCCGCCCATAGTGGCGCTGCTTGAGGCTAGAACACAACTGCTGCTGGAGGTTGTCCCAAGACGACACCCAGTCCCTGCAGCTGCGGTCTACTGCATGCTGCAATGTGTGAGTGTTTTTCGTTCCAAGGGGCTTGAACTGACAAGCCGCTGGCTGTAGTTTCACCAACCAGCTGTTGAGACATTGAACTCCAGAAGAAACGGGCCCCGGGAAGGGAGCTGTCGCCGTGCTGCAACTTGTCTCCGCAGCGGGGCGGGAAGGGAGCACATCTCCATCGCTTGCGTTGCACCAGGTGCTCCCGCATTTCGCAGCCGGGGACTTGGCCAAGTTTTGCATCCGTATGAAGACAGAACCGGCACCAAGGAAGTAGGTGAGGACCCTGCCCTGCCCTGCTGTTCCATTTACTTACTGGCAGGATTGTAGAAGTGTAGTCGGATCCGAGGCAGTCAGAAGCCGAGAGCTTGCCAGGCCAACCCTCGGAACCCATGGCAACCCATGTGTGGGAAGTCACTGCATTTGCCTTAAACCCTTTTGCAACTGGCTTGCAACCTAAACCCTAAACCCCAAACCGGAAGGCGCATCAGCGCCCTGGGTCGAGGAGGTTTGGCCCCTGTCGTGCCAGGAGCCACGCGATCCCGTCTTGCAGTGTCCCAGACAGACCATTGAAGACACAATCCGCAGGACATCAAAGAGGCCTGGGTGCGCGCCTTTATGGACATGTCGCTCATGGTGGCCGGGGCCGGGCCATTGCCTCGGAGACTTGGCAACGCGAAGCTGAAGCTTCTAGCCGTCTAGCCTTCAAAAAAAAACGAAAGGACTGGGGGCTTGTCTTTGTGATGCTTGGCTCGAGCATGTTGCTTGCTCATGTATGTGTTCCCCTTACCCCTAGCATGTCCTCCTCAAGTAGAGGGCGGTCGCCCACACAAGAGCAAAGAAGTTTACAGCATTGCACGTGCAACCTCCCAGACTGTTGGCATCCACGACATCAAACCTTTGCCAGTGGCTGGGTTTTGCCTGAGTGCGCCGCGCTTTGACTGCCGTGCTTCATGGCATGTTGTCACTCGCTTGCAAGACAGCGCCTTTGCCCTGTCTTGCTCCCGTCAGTCTGACGCGTTTAACCTAGGTATGGGCTGCAGCCAGAAAACATGGCAGCAGCTGCTCGTTGTAATGCGTGCCCTGGCAGAAGGTTTTGTGCTCGCAGTGTGCAGTCGTTATTGGAGTTCTGACTCCGTCTACGTGTGCCTTTTTCCGATGCACACTCTGGGCTCAACATAATACGTGGTTTGCTGAAAGCAATTGCATCGAAGGGCATGTCTGTGGCGCTTGCCTAGAGTTCGACATTTTCCATGATCGGGCATGCCACGGACCCCTCACCACCTTGTAGTACCATTCTTTAAAATCTGCGTCTGACACGTTTCCGGGTGAGCTGTGTCAGACAGCGGTTGTTGTGACGTGAACACGCACCGAGGGCATTCGGAGCGGCTAGATTTTGCAGATGAGGATGCTTGGTTCCAGTGCTTCGGCATCATGCATGAGCACCTGCATTGCGTTTTGGCAGTGTTCTGGCCGTAACAGTTGAAGATGCGATACATTTCAGGCATCCAGATTCCCGCAGCTTCCCGATGGACCCGCCAATCACAACTCGAGGTGGGTGAACCCTCTTTCTTGTAACTGCTTCGGGTAGTATGCTTCCACAGTTTTCCACAAAATGAACAAAAGCTAAATGCTTTTCACCTGGTCATGGCTTTGAAACATCCCATCGCACATGAATGTCCTGCGCACGCCTTTCGCCGCTTGTCGCAGGCAAGAGCTTGGCGAAGTTCCAGGGCCAGACGCTGACCGAGTTGTGCAACAAGCTGGGGACACCGATGCTTGTAGGCACTTATGCAACTTTCGGTATCTTTGACTCGCTGCCATGACAGGACAGCGTGTGTCGAGGGACTGATGTTTGGACAGAATCCCAGGATCGACGTCGTGATCACCTCGCCTTTCCATCGGTGTGTGCAGACGGCGGCCGCCATCATCGAGGTCCTGCCCATGCGAAACGGCAAGAAGGCCGGTGCACTTTGCAGACGATGCGCAGTAGAAGAAAGCCTTACCCGTCTTAGTGGCAGAGAGGTGCCGATACTCATCGACTGTGAAATCGCAGAGGCTTGGAGCCTCGGGGCTTTCGGCGGGAAAGGGAGTTTGTTAAATGTGGTGCGTGCCCTTGCGCTTGTAAGGTGGGTCTTTATAAGAAGCCGCCAGGGATCAGCGACCCTGGGCTCCTTGGCTGCAGCTCTACTTCCTCGTCCTAAACCCAGGCAGGTCGAAGGTCAAAGGCTCCGAAAGAAGCGCCGAGGCTCATCAAGGCCCACCAGGAGTTCTGCAGCCGTCGGCGCACCTTCGACGAGGTGGCAGCGCTTCCGGACCTCCAAGGTCGGCGCAGGGCCTTCAGGGGCTTTCGATGTGTTTCGATCAGGGTTCGGAGTTTGGAGCCTTCTCATGCCCGGATGCAGGAAGGGGATTGCGCATGAGGCATGCGTCTAAGACTTCCATGCTTCTGGAGGCATAGAAAAGCTCAATGCCAACTCGTTTGCCGGGAGCTTAGCTGCCGAAGCGTCCTTGCAGTGGCTACCCGCTCAGGCTCCGCACAGAAGGTTTTCATACTATCTGCACGACAGTAGTGTCCTTGCCTCCCGAGCCACGAACTCCAGCATGACATGGCGTGTGACACTTTCACTCCTCCTATAACCTTGCAGGTGTAATGAGGGACGGGTAGAATGCAGCTGCAGAGAGACAGAGCGAGATGCCCTCAAGCCTTCTTGAGACAGAAAGAGAGAGAGAGGGAGAATGCCTCTGCGTTAAACCTGCAGCAAGCAAGAGTGAGACATGCATTCGATAGTGTTCTCAACAACGGCTGCTTGAGCAGTGCCATACGCAAGCATTCGATGACTCTTGTCACCCAGGTCGGCATCGCGCCCCCCTTCCCCGAGCAACGGCGCTCGGCCCACATCCGTGGCCTCTATCGCTTTGCGGCCTCTTGGCATTCCAAGTATAAGCAAGCAAGTAAGTTCGCATGTATTGGTAATGTATTGGATATATAAATATGAATATATATATATATATATACACATGTGTATATGTATGTATGGATGGACGGATGGGTGGATGCATGTAATTATGTGTGCATTTGAACGTTAGTTGAAGCGTATACGATACACCAACCAACAACACCTACACACATGTGTATATATATATATACATGTATGCATACGTATATATATATATATGTATGTATGTAAATGTATGTATGTATGTTGTGCATGTATTTAGGTTTATGTTTATGTTTATGTTTATGTTTATGTTTATGTTTATGTTTATGTTTATGTATGTATGTATGTATGTATGTATGTATGTATGTATGTATGTATGTGTGCATGTGTGTATGTACGTATGTAGGCATTTACATGTACATATGTATTTGTATATAGTAAATATGAAGAAATAAGTGAATATATACATATATATCTATAGATACACATAGTATGTGTGTATACAGGTTTATGTGTACACAAGCACATTTTTTGCATATACATATGCATATACAGACATGCATACATACGTATATATATATATACATACATGTATACTTACATATACATACGTATACATACGTATACATACATTTGCACGCATATACATCCATGCATGCATGCATGCATGCATGCATATATATATATATATACATATGTCTGTATGTATATATGATAATGCACAACACATGCATGCACTGTTGGAACATCGGACGCAGCAGCATGGTGTCATAAGCTAAACCACCCAGGCACGATTGCAGTGTTGTGTATGTATGCATGAACGATCTTGTCGCTTGGGTTTTGTTAACACACAGACTGTAGCACTAGGGAAGCACATCGTCGAAACTGATTCCGCCTCGCCACATGTCAAGGAATGGCTGGAAAGGGGGAGATATGCCCGGCTCAATTTTCTTATAGTCACCCATCAGGCCTGGTGTCCAAAATGCTTTTCGAGTCATGTTGTGAATTCGGTGGACACTGTAACCTGGAGCCTGGAGCCACGTCCGAACACTTGCGCCTGCAACACTGGCGGCAGGATTTGGTGCACACATTCTGCTCGATGATCAAGCCGGAGGTTTGCATTGTGACTCGGTTGGTGGTCAAGCTGTGACAGTGTTCGACCTGTCAGCTCGTTTCTCGCTGTTGTGGTCCCCCGAGCATCTCACCTCAGGAGTGGGTGAAATATTGCGGCTGGGGTGCGGCCTTTGTCAAGCGCAAGGACTTTGGTAACCTTTCTGCAGCTTGGCCCAGCTTGGCTTCTCCAAACTACTTCTCGTAGCGATTGGAGGCAGGGCCATCGTTTTTGCGATCTCGTTGCTCAGGCCGACGCGATCCAGAAGCGGAGCACCAAGCCGCCTCCCCCACTGCATTCCCTGCAGATCACCTCAGAGCTCGGCGACCAGGTTGCAATACAGAGAGACGGGTTGCATGATCGCCGGATGCTTTGCAAGGTTGACTTGGGAAGGTGACTCTAGATAAAGAACTGAAGCATCAACTCTAGCCCGAGATAGCTAGAGCATTCTAGAGATTTGTTCAGACCGAAGCCTTTCTCCTGTGGGCAATATTGGCGGAAGTAGTGTTCGTAACTCCTGAAGGCTCTGGTGTGCGTTGGTCACCATACACCGTGGATCCTCGCACCGGAAACCAGTTGCTCGGCCAAGACAAGCGCAAAGGTTGACAACATCGCCTAAACTGAGTGATCGTTGACTAAGTCTTCGCTGGTACCCTGCCGAAGACGAGACTGGTGTGGCAGCTATTGCCGCCATTTTCTCCAACCAGCAGAGTACAGAATTGCAGGAAATGAAACGTGCCTTGGCTGGATGCATGTAGATCGAGATGTTACAGCAGCCTGACCCAAGCAAGGTGGAGACGGCTTGTCTTGAAACGTAACCCCCGAATGCGATCCCTTCAAGTCCGCAAATTCGGCATGCCGGTTTGAGTTTTGCGCTGGCACCAGGCTATGCGGACACGCAGGCCGAAGCTGTGCCATGCCTTGGAGTCGGCAGGTGATGCGCGTTCTTGTTCTCTGCGAGGCCTTGCAACGTGCCTTCCGGGGTGGCAAGACATTCTCGCTCATCATGTCGGCCGCAAATAGCAGGTGCGGCCCAAGTCAAGACATGCTGCACCCGATGTAGTCCCTTAGCACCGCTGCGCCTCTTCGGCAGGTCGGAAAACGAACTTGAGGATAATGTCCGCGACAAGCCGCCATCGACTCCCGGGGGCAAGTTAGGTGTTGCTGCATGCTGGTAAGACAATTCCGTTTCCTGCAGGTGGCACCGTGTGGATTCGCTGTCGTTGTGCGGTCGCTTGCTAAGGACGGAGGACATTGACATTGCAAAGCTGGAGATCAGCGATGCTTACGAGAAGGTGCGCACAGTGACAGGTCACATTTGTGCTGAACATGCCAGACTCCGGGTGCTTGCGGAAGATGTGGAAGGTCATGCTCAACAGCACCGTCATGGAACCGCCCAAGCGCTCGACTTCCGAGGAGGAGATGGCCGCCTGGCCCAAGTGTTGTGGGCGTTTGAAGAGCCGTGTGGGGGGCTGCGTTCAAGCAAGTGCTCTCTCCCGTGCTGCCGAAGCCGACCGAAGCCCTAAACCCTAAACCCTAAACCCTAAAAAATAACCCTAAACCCTAAACCCTAAACCGTGCATATTATGTCATGCCG